TAGGAGCTTTGTGCTGTGAGGGTCACTTCCTCCTGCTATGCTCATGTCAACACCTTCTTTCAGAAATTGACAACACACTGGACACAGCCCTGACTCCACGAGTTTCCGTTTTGGCAAGTGTCAACTAAAAGAGCCAAACTCTATAAAATATTTGAAGAGATTTATTCTGAGACAAATACAAGTGACCATGGCCCGTGACACAGCCCTCAGGATGTCCTGAGAACGTGTGCCCAAGGTGGTTGGGATGCAGCTTGGTACATTTTAGGGAGGCGTGAAACATCAATAAAATGCATTTAAGTAATATATTAGTTTGATCCAGAGAGGTGGGACAACTCAAAGCCGGCGGAGTACCCGTGGAGTTGTGGGGAGGATGTGCGTTCCAGGCAAATTTTAAACACTTTCTGGTTGACAATTTGTTGAGTTTGTCTAAAGACCTGGGATCCATAGAAAGGAAATGTTCAGGTTAAGATAAAAGACTGTAGAGACCAAGGTTGTTTTGAAGTCTTATAAGTGGCTGCCCTTAGAGCTGATAGATGACAAATGTTTCCTGTTTAGATCTTTAAAAGGTGCTAGACTCTTTGTTTTTGTTTTGTTTTGTTTTGTTTTGTTTTGTTTTGTTTTTATTTTATTTTTTTTAAAGATGGGGTTTCACCATGATGGCCAGGCTGGTCTTGAACTCCTGACCTCAGGTGATCCACCCACCTCGGCCTCCCAAAGTGCTAGGATTATAGGCATGAGCCACCGCGCCCGGCTAACTCTTTCTTAATCTCTTTAGGATTGGGAGGGCCTGGAAGAAAAGATCTAGCTACGTTAATAGAGATTTTCTTTTTTTTTTTTTTTTTTGAGATGGAGCTTCATTCTTTTTGTCCAAGCTGACCACAATCTTGGCTCACTGTAACCTCCGCCTCCCGGGTTCAAGCAATTCTCCTGCCTCAGCCTCCCAAGTAGCTGGGATTACAGGTGCTTGCCACCACTCCTGGCTAATTTTTGTATTTTTAGTAGAGACAGGTTTCCCCATGTTGGCCAGGCTGGTCTCAAACTGCTGACCTCAGGTGATCTGCCCGCCTCAGCCTCCCAAAGTGCTGGGATTACAAATATGAGCCACTGCGGCCGGCTGAGATTCTTTATAGATGCAAATTTTCCTCCCACAAAGGACAGCTTTGCAGGGCCATTTCAAAATATGGCAAAGAAACATGTTTTGGGGTAAAATATTTTGATTTTCTTCTTTGTCACATAATGTTATGCAGAGTCAGATGGGAAAGTAAGTCATGATATACAGAGTTAAATAAAACCCATCTAATGAGAATTTATGGTTTGTAGGGCATGACTCCCCAGACCCCTTAGATAGGAATTAGGGCAAGATAAAAGAAATCAGAACTTAGTCCTCATAAGTAAAAAGTGATAGGAAGGCCTGGCATGGTGGGTCATGCCTGTAATCCCAGCACTTTGGGAGGCCAAGGTGGGTGGATTGCTTCAGGCCAGGAGTTTAAGACCATCCTGGCCAACATGGCAAAACCCTTCTCTAATGAAAAGACAAAAAAACTTAGCAGGGCGTGGTGGTGCATGCCTGTAGTCCCAGCTACTCAGGAGGCTGAGGCAGGAGAATCCCTTGAACCTGGGAGGCAGAGATTACAGTAAGCTGAGATAGCGTCACTGCACTCCAGCCTGGGTGACAGGAGCAAAACTCTGTCTAAAAAAAAAAAATCCTTCTACGGCTTCTCAACACATGTGAAATATAGTCTAGACTTCTTGTGTGCAGGTTTCTTCTTCCTCTTGAACTGTGTTTCCTGTAACTGTCCCCTTGCTCCCTATAATCAGCTACTCTACTCTCTCTCTCTCTCTTTCTTTCTTTCTTTTTTTTTTTTTTTCTTTTAGAAAGAGTCTCGATTTGTTGCCCAGGCTGGAGTGCAGTGGTGCGATCTTGGCTCACTTCAACCTCTGCCTCCTAGGTTCAAGCAATTCTCCTGTGTCAGCCTCCAGAGTAGCTGAGACTATAGGTGTGTACCACCATACCCAGCTAATTTTTGTATTTTTAGTAGATATGGGGTTCACCATATTGGCTGGTCTTGAACTCCTGACCTCAGCCTCCCAAAGTGCTGGAATTATAGGTGTGAGCCATCACGCTCAGCCTCTACTGTTAGTACATTTGTTTGTTTGAAGTTTTTCAGATTTACCAAGGCTTTTCTTAGCTTCGAAAATGCTTCTGCCTCACTTTGCCTCTCCCAAGTATCCTCTACCCTCTCCTATCTGTTGTCCTCTCTCAGTCTTTGTTTAGCTCTTTGTATTTTTAAATCTGCAATTATTTTATCTTGCTCTTTCTTAATATTATTTCCCCTTTCTAAAATGTAAACTCTGTGAAGACTGAGAGGCAGAGGCCATTTGTTTTGCATGCTCTACACTATTATTGGTACATAATTTTTTTTTCTTTTTTTTTTTTTGAGATGGTGTTTTGCTTGTCGCCCAGGCTGGAGTGCAATGGCACGATGTCTGCTCACTGCAACCTCTGCCTCCCGGGTTCAAGTGATTCTCTTGACCCAGTCTCCCAAGTAGCTGGGATTACAGGTGCGTACCACCACATCTGGCTAAATTTTTTTTTGTATTTTTAGTAGAGATGGGGTTTTGCCATGTTGGCCAGGCTGGTCTCGAACTCCTGGCCTCAAGCGATCCGCCAACATTGGCCTCCCAAAGTGCTGGGATTACAAGTGTCAGGCACTGTGCCTGGCCAATACATAATTTCTTACATCATATTTGCTGAACATACATACACACATGCTATTAAATGAATGTAAATGTAAGCACAACTAAAATTATTACTACTGGGCAGAAGGAAGGACATCTATTTCAAGTAGACCAGAAGGAAGAAGAAAAGGCTAGATATGGCTCTATAGATGTTTGTAGCCTTGGCGCACAAAGTAACCTGAAGGCTTTTGTTCTCTCACTCAACTGGGAGAACAAGTTCCTTGCCTGGAATTAATGAGTTTGGTAATACAGTGTGGGTATGAAATTTGAAGACCTACTAAAAGATATGGAGAAATTCCAAGAAGAAACCTAGAAAGACTGCTACATGGCCCTGGTGATGTTGGACACCTTGATTTTATAGTAACCTTAATCAGTAGAGTTGAGATTTTTTTCCAAGACTTCCCAGCAATGTGGGCATTGAAGAGAAATCAGTGAGCTCCACTGAATCAGGTTTTTTTTTTCTTTTTTTTTTTTTTT